TTTATTTATTTATTTATTTATTTTTCTGTTTGCAGCGTGACCGAATTACAAGTTTTAGAAAATCTACTGTCAAAAAAGAAAAACCTCTTATTCAACATCCTATTGATTCTCAAGTCGCAATGAGTGAGTTTCCAGCAGCTCAACCATTATATGATGAACGATCTTTGAATTTGTCAGAAAAGGAAGTACTGGATCTCTTTGAAAAAATGATGGTAAGTTAGATGATGTAATTTTAGAATGTGTGTGCCCAGTGTAGCATTGGGTTTGAAGTTGGTGTTTTTTTGAATTTATTAAATTTATTTTATTTTTTATTAATTAATTTATGTTACGTACTTTCACTGGACATCACCACAGCATACAAAAGTGTTTGTATGGACTGTGTTTATTATCACATAAAGGAGAGTCCTGAAACTTGGTACAACACAATTATTTACAAAGGTATCTTTTTTTCTGTTATTTTTACCTAAAATGTCCTTACCTATCTCTCTCTTCCACTGTGAGCTCCAAAAACAGAGATAGTCTTATTATCTTGGTTCTCTACTATTTAATAGTCTCTGGTACAGTCAACCAATTTTTTAATTAACTAATTTGTATGTCTTTTTCTATAAAGCAAAACAGGCCTAAGTCCGCTTTGCTGAAAACAGCACAAGGTTTCTTGTTGGGTATATGAGATAGAGTTGGGAGGACAGAAGGTAAGAAACAGCAATGGGAACAAAGAAATTAATTCATCCAGATTTGTTCTGTTTGCAACCATCATACAACCTATAGTTTCTTTATTTTTTTTAAGGTTTAATTAATTAATTTATTCCTTAAGGTAGAGAGACAGAAACACAGAGAAACAGAGAGACAGGTTCCCTCAACAGGGTTTCCATGCTGCAATCTCCCCTGCCACACACACCTTAGCTGGTCTCTGTCATAGGCACATACATGTGTGTTCCTGGCATACTCAGGAAGGTCCTGGGACCCAAACCCAGAACCTTTCCCTTGTGGGTACAGTTGTGTTACCACCGTGCCACCACCTGGACCTCAACCTGTATTTTTAAATGCCTTTCTTATGTTTTATAGCTTGTGTTCTAAAGTATTCTTACATTGGATAGTGAATATAGTATTTTGAGTATCCAGCAGTTTATGGGAGGAGAGAGGACAAAAGAGGCATTGGGTCATATTACATTCATTAGCTTAACCAGAGAAGAACTGGAGATCTTGATTTATGATTCATTCATTTAAAGACCTATCTCACTGTCACTGTTAATTTTCTGTGGATGTCTATTTTTTTCTGTAGTTAGGGTGCACAGGAATTTCAATGGTCCCCTTAACCAAAATAAAACGTTAAGAATCAATGAACTCTAGGTCCTTCTACTCTGCCTACTATGGATCATCTTGTCACCACAACTCTCCCTGTCCCCACTATTTCTTCTGCCTAGAAGAGTTAGTAGACCTTTATAATGTTTGTTGGAAGTTGCCGAATGAATATGAACACATGTCATTTATCTTTAAACTTTTCCTTCTGTTGAGCCACAATGGGCATTTGGCCTTTCCTCTGAAACAAGTCCTGACATTTTCATCCTCTTCAACGCTTCCTTCTAGTCCTGTGGTACACCTTTTTTCCTGTTGCTCCTTCCATGCTGTCGTCTTTGAACTGTCTTTAAACATCATTTTCTCTTGTGAAGTCTGTTATCTGCTGACCTTTTTTGGTGATGATAGCACCTGGCCATCCCTTTGTCCATTTCCGTTGCTACTTATTTTGGTCATTTCAGCTGTTATATTGATAACCCCTTGAGCAAATTTTTACTCTTAGTAGTTCCTTAATTTTTTGAACTCCGAATCCATATGTTTATTTAATTATACGTATGAATACACTTTGGCTTGTGTCATTCTTTGGAATGATTCTACCTCTATAATCTTTAACTCTCAAATTCTCTTTGGAAGCTAAACAACCTATGCTATCTTTCCAAGGCCCTAAATTTTACAGAGTATGTACTGTATAGTGGTTAAGAACTTATACTTTGGGGTCATTTATACTTGAGTTTGACTCGTGGCTCTGCCATAGACTGCATCACCTTATGGAAGTTATATAAGCATTCTAAACTTTCTTTTCTCTTCTTTTGAAGTTTATTTATTTATTTCCTCCATGAGAAAGAGAGAGACAGACAAGCACCCCAAAAAGAGTCTTTACCTCACAGTCCACTCGCAGCCAGCATGCCCAGTGTGTACAAAAAGACCTTGGCATATGAATCTGGGGTTCCTTTGGCTCACCATATGGCTTCAGCATTGTGGATCACTGCACCACTGCTGTTACCACTGCGGCTGTCCTCTAAGCTTTACTTTACTTAATTGTAACAAAGGTAAAAGAGGACTTTTAGGATAAAGGACATCATATAGCCAGAATAGTGCTTGGAATGTAAGTTTTCTCTATAAACAATTTTATAAAAGTTTATAGCATTCCTTTTCTGTATCAAGTAAGCCCTGTTGTTTCTGCAGTTATGAATATTTCCTGATCGCCTAGATGCTACTCAGTTTACCACCTCATTGTCCTAGTCTATTAACAATTTAATTACCCCAAACAGTGACCAACAACCCAAAGAAAAACATTGTTTTTTTTAAAAAAATGTTGCCAGAGTGTGTACACCCACCAGCCAGAGAGATTGATCCGTCACACGTGAGTATACCCCCCTCCTCCATGGGGGATGGCCACACTGCAATCGATTCTTTTCCATTTCTTCCTTGTTTGGGGATATGGGGCATGCAAGCACAAGTGCTTGGCATTTCTGAAGTACCCAGGTCTGCCATTCAAACTGTGTAGTCAACCGTGTGGGATCTAGCCACCTTAAGCGCCATGCTACAAACTGGCTCAACATTTGTAATCTTTAAGTGTCTCTTTTTTCTCTTCACTCAGAAATTATATTTATAGCTCTATTCTGCTGATCAAGTCGGTTACTGCTATTTGCAATATTGTTATGATTCTCTGGTATTCCCTTACTTCAGTTCTCTTAGGCCCAATATACCACCAGACCATCTTTCACTCCATTTATTTTCTCAATCACTTCCAATTGCTTCCCAAATCCTATTGATTCTGCTTTTGTGGTAACTGTTACATCTGTGTTCTCAGTTTTTTTCCAGTTGCCCTTGCCTTAGTTTAGGTGATTTTCCTCTCTGGGTATCTCTCTCTCTCTCTCTTTTTTTGAGAGATTTTTGCTATAGGGTATGTGCACTCACCAGAGAAAGACAGAGAGACAGAAAGCAAGAAATCACTCCCCCCTCCCCAAGAAGGATAGCTGTGCCACAGTCCCTTCTCCTACATTTTCTTCTCAGGATCTTGGGCATGCACACATGTGCCCAGTATGATTTTTTTTTTTAAAGAGAGAGATTTTTGCTATAGATGCATGCCATTGCTAGAGAAACAGAGAGGGACAGAGAGACAGAAAGCAAAAAATCACCCCCCAGGGGGGATGGCTGCACCACAATTCCTTCTCCTCCAGTGTCCTCTCAGGATCTTGGGCATGCATGTACATGCACCTCTCATGAGTTTTAAGTCATTGGATCTGGGACTCAAACCGTGGATGGTTACATGGGAGTCCAGCGATGTAACCCTTACGCCATCTGCTGGTCCTCTCTACTTGTTTCTTGGCTAGGCTACTAAAATAGCCTCCTAAGTGGTCTTCCTCCCATCTTTTAGTTCTTGTCTATTCTAATCCAGTATTAGGCTATGAATGATTCTGAAGTAGATCACTTTTCAAAAGCCCCAAGTGGGCCCTCATGTTTTTGGACAATCATTTCTTATGTGTCTACTCCATTTCCTCAACTATGTTCCTAGATGGTATTTCATATCTTTACTTTGGTGTTCAAATCTCTGAACTCTTGCCCATCTTTAGTCTCTGCTGATGGCCTTGCTGCGTAATTTACTGAGTAAATTGAAGCAATTAGAAGAGAAGTTCCCTACTGTGTCTACCTAACTTTTAGTTACTATACTGACATAGTCTGTCTTGCTACCTATTTACGTGGATGAATTTTTTATGTCTCTAACCTTCCATGTATATATAAGATTCCATTTCATTTCACTTACTCACAGATATTACTCCATTAATTTTCTCCTTCCTCTTCTACCATTCTCAGAAGTATACAAACATGCTTTTCCATCTTACAATACCTTTTATCAACCCTATCTCTGTTATTTAGTGTCCTTTGAAGAGAAGCACCTCACAATAATTTTGTTTATGTATGCAGTTTCCAACTCATCTCTCACTTCTCTCCTAAACTCACTTCTACCAGGCTACCCTCCTGTCTTTCTATCAAAACTGCTCTTAGCAGTGTCACTAAAGATTTTTCCTGCTCCTAAGCCCATGGTCAGTTCTTAGTTCTCATCTTAATGGACCTACCAGCAGCATTTGATGCAGTTGATTTTCCTCTCTAGTTTGAAACACTTTTTCCCCCCTCCTCAACATTCATCTGATTGACCTCCTACTCCTTACCTCTCAGATCAGTCCTTTTCAGTCTTCTTTGCTGATCTCATTTTCTGTCCTCAACCTCTAAATGTGGGAGTCTCAAGGATTATCTCAGACTTCATGCTGTGGTCCACTCCCAGCTAGTCAGGAACATAGGGATGTGTACCTATACCTGTTGTGTACAGGGGGACCTTTGGTCGTGAACCCATGACCTCACGTGGTCTCAGCATTGCAGACTGTTGCACCACTTAGCACCACCACTGTGGCTGCCCAACATGGAACAATTACCATTTAAAACATGAGCCTTTAAAATGTCACCTGGCTCCTCACATCGCTAGAATGACTTCCCATTTCACTCAATATAAAAAAGATAATATACATAAAATAGCCTATAAGGCCCCACATGGTTTGCCTCCTCCCACCTTAACTCTTTGATACTTTCCTCTATTACAGCCCCCACCACCACCACACTCACTCTGCTTCAGTTGCACACTTGCCTTTTATGTAATTATAGCCCTAAGTGAAAATGACTCCTGATAGTTCGCATTTTTTTTCAATTTGTGTGCAACATTTACAGTGTTTTCAAACTTTATAACATGTCTGTTTTGTGGTTTGAATATTAATTCTAATGTTTCAACAGAAAATGACCATTTCTTCTTTATTTGTGCGATGTTTTTAAAAAGATTTTATTGTTGTATTCATAAATGTGATTTAGAGGAACATACAACTTGGTGCCACATTTCTCTAATAGGCATTATTCCTTCCATGGG